CCCTGGGGTCGTGTCACTTGAACGATGCGATCAAACGATAACAAGACCTACAATCGACCGACATGATGTCTATCATAGAGCTGAGGCACTGCGCTACTGAGAAGTTGAAGTTTCAAATTGGACCATTAACTGACATCTACGTTTCTTTTTATCTGAAACAGTGGCAAACGAGCTGGCGGTTCGCCTGTAGGGTTGCAGATGCGTTGACACCTTTTAATAAAGTGGGCCCCGGCTACCTCATTCACCAGACCAAACGCAAGTGTAACACTTCTACTTCACGCTGGTCTTCTGTGCGGTCGTGGTACTAACCCGGACGGGCCTCCCCATTCGTGCAACAGCGAACACTGATGCGTAGCCCTACCACAGTAAAAACGTCTTGACGTAAGTGCGATGTCCATTACTGCAGACGTCTGGGTGTCAGATTGCGATGATTAACGCTTCTATAAAAGCGATCAAAAAGGAGCAAGTATGAGCATATAATTAAGCATCGTTTATGATTCAGAAGTAACGATTCAACAGTAACCAGCATCTCGTCAATGACAATTATAATAAGATATAACGTTAACCGAAAAATGTAAAAAAGAGCAAACATTTTTCATTAAATTTATTTTACTGCCGTCGTTTTGATCTTAACATAACTTTAGATTGTTTGAAAAGCCCTCGTTATGTTGATGGGTAAAATTTTGTAAATGAATAACGTTGTAATTACTGTGAATATGGTTACTCGTTCACATTAATGTGAACATTCACTGTAGTACATATACTTATAGCAGCAGGCTTAGTGCCACGGGTCAAGTCTGTCGGTTGATCAGGTACGAAACATATTTGCAATATTAAAAACTAAATTAGTAAATAGTAAATATAGTAGAATATGGTTCTAGTGGTTCTAGTAGAATGTATAGTAAGTGTGTGGTATAATAAATATAGTAAATATAGTAAAACTAGTAAAATATGGTTTCAAATTTAATCCATCGCTATCTAAAATAATAAAATATTGATTTATATGTAAGCAAGACGCATTAAAAAAGGCTTTTTGTAAGTTTACTTAAAATATCTTTTACTTTCTGCTAAGATATTTCCAAAACTTTAATAATCTTCATGAATACGTCAGTCTCGCGTAAACAATTTCACTTGATCTTGTATCGTTTATCGAATATTAGCGACTCGCCCCGGCTTCGCATAGTTGCAATTTATTATACATATAAACCTTCCTCTTGAATCACTCTATCTATTAAAAAAAAAACCGCATCAAGATTCGTTGCGTAGTTTTAAAGATCTAAGCTCTAAGAGACAGACAGACAGCGGGACGACTTGGTTTTATACTATGTTTGTTTGTTTTATGTGATGTTTTTTTATGGAGCGGTATTTTTATCGTTCTCCTTCCACTGCCTTAAATTTACGAGTACGAACATGTTACGTGCACCGCCCCTCACTTGTCGTAAACTGCACGGAATGTACTACTTCACACTGAGCTTATTTGTCGCCAAGGAGAGTCAAGTGGTTTGCAAGATATGTATGTATCATATCCTAAATTAAAATTGAAGTATAGTGAAAAATCTCTTTCACAATTATGTATTGTTTCGAACAGTAAGTTTTGAACAAATAAGCTAGGTCGAATTTGGCCCTTTAGCCATTTTTATTTACTCGTTATTTTTAAATTAAAGTCAATTTATCGTGATTTCGTTTATTGGCGGTACGACTCCAAAGTTATCTTAAAATAGTATCTTCCAAAAGATTTTTAGAAAAGGGAAGAATAAGTCTGCTAAGCAAACTTTATAATTGGGAATATTAGGCAATATCACATAAAATGAACCATTGAATTTTATGTGTTTCATTACACAACACGAGAAAGCTCTTTCGGAAAAAACCTTAAGTCGAATTTCCGGTTTATTTATATCCGGTTTATTTAGACGTAAGTGGATGAAATGAAATTTGAAAATCTCAAAGTATCATTAAAGGAAAATAGACTTCAGTAAATAATTACTGATAAAATCATTTCACATAAAATGTTTCACGACATTCTGGACAATGCTTGAACTCTATCAACATATAGTGTTCCGTCTTTTCTAGGCGCAGAAACTATGTCCATTATTATAATACTATTATGATCAAGAGGTTGATGTCTTACTGGTAAATGTCAATGATCCGTATTGACAGTTTGGAATGGTGTATGTGACTTTATTTTAAGCAAGCTTTTAGCGCGCGGCTCTGCTCGAATTTAGTACATTTTATATCGTGCTTAAAAGTATGCTTATAGCCTTCTTCAATAAATGGGCTACCTAAAAGTGCAAGAATTTTTCAAATCGGACCAGTAGTCCTTGAGATTAGCGCGTTCAAACTAACAAACTCTTCAGATTTATAATGTTATAGTATAGATATCCCTTATTTTGGTCCGTCCCATCACTACTAAAATACTTTCTAGTACGGTTCAGGTCGATATCGGCCTGCCGCTTTGCCTGGTTCTTGGCCCATTTCCTGTTAACAAGATCCAGGGGCGAATCGAACCTAAGGAAGTTGGATTCAAGGCCATTGTAACAGTACAAAAAATGTACACATTATGTCTTCGTAATGTTTTAGCATTTTAATCTATCCAGTGTTGGTAGACGACCTGCCACACACTGGCGGAAAAACCGTTGGCAGCGCATTTCGACCCGCCGCCGCACCAGATGATGGTTTTAAGCGTGTTAGATAAAATAAAACAAAAAATGATAAAGACGTGACACTGACAAAGTTAATACATCAACGTTACTACTAACATATATAAAAATTGTGTTTAGACATTCTAGTCTTGACACTGATAAGATTAATACATCAATGTTTCTCTTTACACAAATGAAAATTAAAGATACAGTGCAAATACCAGTATTATATTTCCATTCATGTTTTTATATGAATTTAAATACATTTTACATTTTTTTTAAATATCTGTTTTACGGATCCAACCTACCTTTTTTCGATGTGACACCTATGACCGAATCATATCCTATCACAATCCGAATGGTATTCGAATATTAAGTTTAAAAAAGAACTTTGGATTAGATATATGTATTTTAAAGTCAGTACATCTTGAACACCTGAACGACGAGCTTTCGAAAAAGGTGTTCAAGATGTAATGACTGGAGTGGCTAGCTGATATATTGGAACTGTTATTGTCACTTCATTAATTTTCGCGGCTTACGTCTGAAATCGGTCCTCTGTGAGATGTGGTATTTCTTCGATCGAGCCACTTATTTGATTCATTGGCATAAACTGCCGCTTGGCATCACTGTATATTGGTATTGCTGTCGACCCTGTTTTCTTATGAAGTTTAACGCCTCTCACTACTTAGCTTCAATAAATATAAGATAAAGATTGACATTCCCAAGCGCCTTTTTCGATTATTCTATTCGTCCCAAATATGGAATATTTTGTATATTTCATACGTATCTATGTAATCAGGTGTGCTTCACATACAAGCCCGTACTCAGAGATAACGGAATTTTAATAATCTGTATTTACTCGGGTCTGCAGATCTACGCACGTACCAACATATTTGTATTAGCATATGTTCCTCGTAGTTCTGGTTGAATTTATGTTGAAGTACATTGGAATCATACTCTTACCACATTTTATTTTGTTAATATACTGATCATAATTCTCTGATAACAACCTGCACCGAAGTAATAAAGTATGAATTATTTTATGTAACAATTCGAATTTCCAAAACATTTTTAAGATTGTCTAATCCCATTACCTTATCAGCACTAATTCAAAAACAATGCATCGTACTAAAACATTAAAGAACACTAAAATAATTTAATTACAAAAACTCGACCAAGTGCGAGTCGGACTCACGAACGAATGTTCCGAGCCTTTATACCTCGTATGTAATTGTATTTGTATGAGCGCCCATACAACTCGGAAGACTTAATTGGCATCAACTATGTATGTTTGGGGACACCCTTTAATTTTCAATAATTTTTATTTTTTTGAATTTTTCTTTTATATATCTTGAAAGCCCTGCCTGGGCCTGATCTGATTACAGATATTTTCAATGCGCTTGTCTTCAGCTTCCGGATGCCTCGAAAGAGGCCATAGTTAGCGAGGTTTGCAAGCCGAATAAACAACACAACCAAGCCACGAGCAATCATCCCATCAGCCTCCTATATGCCGGGGAGGAAGCTTTACTATAGCGTAATTCTCAACAAGCTCAAAGACCGTGTGTACTCTGACTTTTATGTGCTTACATTAAGTGATTTATGCGAGTAAATAAATTAAAAAATATTAAATTCCTTTATTACGATAATCTTCGATACAATTTGTTGCCAAGTTCTCCCGGTATGTTGTCATAGACGTTTGTAATGAGAGTAGTTTCAACAGTGGTAGGCCACTCAACAGCCTTCGATGTTGCACTAATGGGCAGTTCTTTTAAGGAAAGTACCAGGGAGGTAACCGGGACCCACTTCATTAGCAGGTGGCAACACATCTGGAACTCTACGAGTGTTGCAAAGGTCTATAGGCGTGGTTATCACTTTGCATTAGGTGAATCACCATCTCGCTTATCACCTTCGCAATATGTGTATATTAAAATGAATATTAATCTAATATTGCCTAAGGAATGCCATCTAGTAGTTATATGATTTCACGTAGATTTCACCCGTGGTATCTTTGTATGTTTTATGTTTTTGAAAGAAAAACCAGAGAGCAAATACTGATTCTTTGTTGTTCCTATCTAATAATAATTACTGGACAGATTGAAGCCCTACTGTGTGTATAAATTATATAAAACAATTTCAAAGACAACATTGATATAGTTCATAATTAAATACAAAGTTAATTAAGAAAAGAAGTAAAGTAGGCAGAGTCATGGATAAAAATAAGAAGAAAATGCTGGTAGTAATCAAATATTTGGTTATGATAAGTGTAGGTCGTTTATATAGATGCCTTGAAGAAGTGCGCATATCATTGCAACGTCAAAGATAATTAGCGTAGTTGCCTTCAAACGATCCAGTGATTGTGTAATGAAGACGAATGATAAGGAAAATGGTGCAAAATCTGACGTAGATGTCAACAAAATAGAAGATGGCTTAAAAGGTAATATTTAAATGTTACGTAAGTTAGAATTTTGGCAGCACAGAAGGCGTAGCTTTAAAAAAAAAAGAATTTAGGCTTCTTAATCATAAATTGTTTCTTGTTTATGTGTTACTACGGAACAGTGTTAATTTTTACCGTGTACGCTTTCATAGAACGATAAAATTTTTATTATTCTATAAAAGGGCTATGCAGCAGCGTTTGGGCAGGCTATTTTGGTGTAACACAAACAGCTTTGCGAAGTCAAAGTAGATACTTCAGCTTCAGTTACTTCAGCGTCTCGTTTGTGGAATGAGGTAGCTGAGGTTCACACTCTTAAATCGATCTGCTCGATAGCTTCATAACGACTTAAAAGAAAATATCTAAAAGTGGCTTATAATCACTTGACATTAGATAAACCATGTGCTTTCTTATCATCTTTCATAAAATTTTTATAATTTTAATGGAACTTCATTGAAATTGTTTCCAGTTATTTAAAAATATATGATGCTTAATTAACTTTAAATTTAGATAATTCTAACCATAATCAACTCCTATAATTGTGGCAATATTGAGATTCAGTAGTCACCAAACAGTAATATAAAACTTTAAAGAAGGTCTGAAACATTATTATATAACATACGTTTCGTTAACTCAGCTATGATTCCTTACTTTTAAATTATTTTTTTTCTTTCTTCGTTAAATAAATCTTTTTTCATCAGGTAATGTCTCTTATGATTTAAAAATAAAACGTATTGTTCTTATCGTAATGTTCATGGATAGTAAGTTCAATAAACACAGGTAAGCAATATACTACAGCACTGCAGCGTGTGGGTTTGATTTCCATCCGAAACAGTTACTTTTATAGCATACACATAGCCATTTCTGAGTACCTTACTACCCTATTTAAATCAGCTTTTGTAAGAGGTTAAATAAACCAGCCAAGTCCGACTCGTGCACGAAATGTCCCGTACAATCTATAAAAAAGACCAAAAAAATCATGTCTGTTGTATGGGAGCCCTTAAAGATTTTTATTCTGTTTAGTTTTTGTTGTTATAGCGGTACCAGAAATACTTCATATGTGAAATTTTCAACTGTCTAACTATCACGACTCATGAGATACAGCCTAGTGATAGATGGACAGATAGAGAGCGAAGTCTCTTATAGAATCCCATTTTACCCTTTGGGTACGAAAACCTAAAAAGTAATCATTACATTGTTATGTTAAGAATTAAAAACATAAAAAAGAAAGAACGGAAACTCCATCTACCATTTCTGCTTCAGGACTTTTTCTCTTTATATAAAAAACGTTAACTTGCAGGTTGGGGTTATAGGCATGAGCAATGCTTAATCCTGTTCTGTTGCTTAACGGTGGCGTATAGCATGAGAGCTTGCATGGGAGTATCATTGGTGGCAATGACAATAAACAATTATAACGAATCCCGCGGGAACTAAATATAACGGCACTCATTTCCCTGGCAATGAATCTAAAACAGAATTTGATGATTACGAAGTGGATGGATTTTTCAATGCCCTTTTATTCACGAATCCGGTAATCCATGTTTTATACTCAGCTTGTTGACATTTTCGATTTTAGTGTAAATTTTAAGGTATTACATTTAACAGAGTAATGATTCATTAAATATCCTGAACTAGATTCTAATACATTAACACATTAATATTCAATAGCCAAAAAATTTTCGACAGCCTTAGTTAACAGTAACTTCATTATCAAAGTGTGTTCAGAAAAATGATACCAAAATGTTTCATTAATCACTTCCTCCTTTTCTTCAAATACCATTAAGATTTTACTCAATCTGAATATGATAATAATTTTTGAAACACGTTGGCGATACTTCAAATTATCAAATACTATTACAATTACGTTGAACTAATAATACGTTGAATCAAATAACTTGTTCACGTTCCAAGACATAATTTTAAGCTGCATTTTCAAAATGTGGAATTGAGAAAGTAAAAAATTTACAAGAGACATGATACATTATTCATTTCAGTATAGTTAAAAGATTATCAGCACAATAGCCCCTTACTACCCATGGACGTTAATTATCTCCTTCGTTAGTAGCATAAAGCTTAAAATGAGTTACAGACTACATTAAAGTAAAATCGGATTACTTCCCTCATATTCCTGACCCCGCAGTACCCAAAGTTCAAATGGAGCAAGAAGACACAGGACGCAATACTCGCGTCTTTCTTTTGGGGTTACATGTTGCTGCAAATCCCTGCCGGTCAGCTTGCGCACCGCTTCGGCTCACGCTACCTCTTGTCGGCGGCGCTTTTTACAAACTGCGTCATTTCATTCTCGCTGCCTTGGGCTGCGTATTACGTAAGCAACTTATAATTAACGTTTTAAAGTGAAAAAAGAAAACTTAAAAATTAATCCGTGTACTAAATGTATATTCCGTTCATGATATTTTTAAATAATTAAATAGAACAGACCTTAAATTGAAATAAATTGATTATTTAAGAGATAAACATCCAAATTAACGAAAAATTTAACACACTGAGGAACTCTAACCTGCTTCTTGGGTAACGCGCCTAGACGCTCTAATCTCTTGATCTAAGCGAAAATTCATTCATTAAACTCATATATAAATTTACTCTTCAGTGCAGATTTGCGCTAAAAATATTAAAAATAATCCTAAGTTATATTAAAACCACTGTTTAAATAAATCCTACTGCTTCCAGTAAAATGCTCATAAACATTAATTTTCCTAGGGTGGTTGGATATGCGTGCTTGTCTTCAGAATGGGCCAAGGGTTAAGCCAGGCGTGTATTATTCCAGGCATGCACACTTTTCTCGGTAAATGGACACCCTTGAGCGAAAGAGGCCGGTTGAGTGCTTGGGCGTATGGAGGTAAGTAATATGGCATCGACTCAGAATTCTTCTTGATGCACAGTAAAGGATTTTACGTTAGCACTCCATCATCCATTTTTTTTCCAAGTACATTTCATAAAATATTTATATTCACTCTGCAAGGAGGTGATGAAATTCCTTAGTTTAAAATTCTGCCTCTGGTGAAAAAGTAAATATAATTAATGGTTTCTGATGAGGGAACACCTTTGTGGTAATTTTTTACAAATGCCTGTACTTATGTAAAAAAAAACAAGATTTAATTCATAGTTTCTGCTTACTGTCCACCTAGATATGACATAATGAAATGGGGAGTTCATGTAGAAAAACCAGCAAATAAGTCGGCACTGCCGGCACGGCGGCTAAATTAGTTTTATTACTATTTAATCATTTATCTGTAGATGTATCAACATATATAATAAAATTTTTAACACTTATAAACAACTTATTGCAAACAAATTAAAATATTTTGTAAAACTTACACTTATGGAAAGGGTCTATTATAATATCGAAGAATACATTGAGGACAGGGGTGTGTGGAAATGACTCTTGCTGTACACTTGAAAGCTGCTTATTGCAGTTATTTCACAGTTGATTCTATTAATCAAGACTTCTTTGGAGGACTATCTATAGGTCTCAGGTCTATATTAGTGAACACAATATTAATAAAGTCAATATTGGGTAAAGATATTTTGACTTTGCCTTTGTTTAAACAACAGTTAAAACAGAACGTGAATGATTTTTGGGTTTTAACTTTTTCAGGGCAAGCGCTAGGCCCAGTCCTTGGTCTTCCTTTGACAGGCTTCATTGCTTCATCACCAATAGGATGGCCTGGAGTTTTTCGCTTTTATGGCATACTCGCCGGTCTCATTGGCTGCCTGATCTGGTGGAAGACAGTCGACTCACCGGCAAAACACCCAAAGATATCCACCATCGAAAGGCAATACATAGAGAATGACATAGGTTCCACAGACGATACCAAGGTGATTTTTTCTTCTAATAAAACGAAAAAAAAAAAAAAAATAGTTCCCCAAAATATCAGTTCATCAGTAATGATTGCACATCACATATCAAAATCAGCCTTTAAACATAATAGTGGATGACGCTTTGCTTATACTTATCCTTTACACTTTATCGAGTCGTCAAAACTAAGAAAAAACAAAGTAAAATAGCTCAATTTTAATAAAATATAACTGTTGGAAAAATCCAATTTGATTTAATTTTCAGAAACCAAGGCAAGTACCATGGGTAAAGATACTGACACATAGAGGGATGTACGCAATAATAATAGCGCATATCGGCCAATCGTGGGGTCAGTTAACCCTTTACTCGGAAGTTCCTGCATTTATGGATAAAGTCATGGGTGTTAACCTGAAAGCGGTAAATGAAGTATTAATTATTATTAGATTACTTACACATAATATAGACCGATTAATTACATTAATAGACGACTCCATGGCGAAGTTGTCAAGGTATTGGCTTCGGCGTCAGGGGTCGTAGGTTCGATCCCCATACGGGACAACTATTTGTGACCCACAGATAGTTGTTCCGCATCTGGATGTTTGTCCGGTTGAAATTTATGTTTGTAAAACGTCCTTACAACACAAGATAATGTTATCCTAAAGCAAGGGCAATGTTTTAAAAAACATCAAAAAAATAGGATATTAAATATAGGGCAATAGGATGTATACTCAGTGTTTCATTATTATTCATAGAAAATGTTAGCATTCCTTTCTTTTATTAAATTTGTCCATGCTGTAGAAGAACGTCATCCTATGTTGTAAGGAAGTTTTACAAACACAATTTTCACGTGGACTAACAGCTAGATCCGAAACATTTACCTGTGGGTCTAACCCACTGTGTCACAGAAATAGTTGTCTCTTGTAGGAATTAAAAGCAAACATCACTACACTTTTATCATAAACCTATGAAAAAGAAGATATAGATACGTATAATGTTGCATTTATAAACATGCATGTTTCAATGTTAACAGAATGGCTTGCTCACCGCTCTTCCATTTCTGACGATGTGGTTTACAAATTTCTTCTTCAGCTGGGCCGCTGACATGCTTATCGTGAAAAAAATTCTCAACGTCACCCAACGAGGAAACTGGCGCATACCGTTGGTAAGATTACATAAATCGATTGGTCAGTTAACTATTTTTAAGAGATGTTAGAATTTGCTTTGTCTATTATGTTATACTTAAAGAAGTTATTAAAACAAAGGCTCATGACAAGCAATTCGTAAATTGAGGATACTTCGAAGTGGACAATATTTGTTTCTTGCTTACTTTATTTCATTCTTATCATCTGCCGCATCAAGATTTTTTGCGTAGTTTTAAAGATCTAAGCATACAAAAGGTCAGACAGATAACAGGACAACTGTTTTAGACTATGTAGAGATGAGACACTCTTGGAAATCATCATGAAACAATCATCATCATCATGAAAACTTCAGGATTTCATAATACATCAATCATCATCATGAAACCTTCAGGATTTCACTAATAGACTGTAGGCTCACCCTATTTTAAAGTTTGTAACTGTCATACTTTTCTTTTAGGTTGCATTCCAGCGGCAATTGGTCTGATTGCTCTTGCATATGTTCCCAAGAATTTGATCGTTGTGGAGACAATTTTAGTGATTATTTGTTCGTTTAAGGTTGCAACGCATGTTTCAGTCTATGTGAGTACATTAGCAACACTACTGTGATATTATTGTTACCTTTAAATAATAAGCAAAAACCATTTGTTTAGAATAACATTGTCCTCGAAATTCTGATTTAAATTTAAGTTAACACTTCAGGTTAATTTAATGATTAGATAGGGAAATCTAATTGTTTAATGGTACTAACTATACCTAAATACGTCAGAAGGCGTAATATTCAAGTACAGACCAGTAATAAACAAATTGATTTACAGGTAAACCACATTGATATATCACCTAACTTTTCTGGTACAATGATGAGCATCAGCAACTTCTCTTCAAATCTGTTTGGCTCTCTCGCTCCAATCGTCGCTGGATTCATTCTTACTGATGTTGTAAGTAGTAATATTTGTTGTTATCAAATAGATATCAGGTCCTCTATCTTCAGGTCTAAACAGTCCTCTTTTATTGATCTTTTGCCTGATACTTGCTACTGTATTTAATTTGACTATTAATCAACATTGAACTTCTGTGGATAAGGTTTCTTGATAAAAAAAATCGCATTTGGTAATTCGCCAGTCAGTGTCAACTTTAGCCAACCGAGCTAAATGGCCGATATCCTCTTGGCGGGAAAATCTCGACCTCCATCAACTTTTCTTCTTCATTCCTCTGTTATTTTTACATACTGTCTAACATTTGTATATAGTGTACAAGGTTAAGCTCTTGTCCTCAGACACCAACCACGTTATATCCTCAGTGAAAATTACCTCCGTAACAAATGCTGCAATGGCTTTATTAAGTTCAGCAGAGATTAGTCACTGAGAAATATCCCTTTTGTTATTTTAAATAAAAAAATATCGTTTTAAATGTTAATCAATCTTATTGAGGCAGCATAACGGCATTTTATTTTAATAGTCAAAAAGTAAAACATTACAGAATATTATCTTGATATTATCTTAATCCTTGCTTTCATTGCAGCAATAGGAATTAAAATGTTATATAAACCTGCAAATGCAAGCCTTTTGTTGGTAAATAATGTGTGTTGCTATATATTTATATATTTATCAGCATTTGTTGATAAATATATAGAACTTCCACCTTATTAACATTGATTACAGAGAACTAAGTGTGGTTCTTCGATCCCTTACCCATAAAAGTCAATTAATCGTTGTAACAAGTGAAAAGATACTACAAGTATGTATTGTTTTTTTTTTTTCAGACTAGTGAATATTTATGGAGGAAGGTATTCTTTGTTTCCGCTGGCTTCTATTTCTTTACTAACATTCTTTATGTAATACTCGGGACTGCAGAGAGGGCCGAATGGAACGACTCCCAACAAGACGAAGACGTTCCGAGGGATCCAGAAAGTAAACCTATGATCGAAAAAGACAAAAGCTAGTTTTGTATGTAACAAAGATTATTTTACAGTAACAATAAACATTTATTAGTATAGTATCTATATATTTCTCTCCGCGAACAACACAACTTCTACAAATGCCAATATCATAAATGATAAAATAATAAACATATTTTTGTGGAAACTGGTGCTTGTGCTAAGTTATGTGAAGTGATATAATTGAAGCAGAAACAACGGTGGTAAGGTGCAACAATATTGCACGAATGGACAGGTCCGTCCGGGTTAGTACTACGACCTCACAGAAGACCGCCGTAAAGTAGAAATGTTACACTTCTGCGTTTCGTCTGGTGAGTGAGGTAGCCGGGCCCACATTATTAAGAGGTGGCAACGCATCTGCAACCCTACAAGTGTTGCAAATGTCCATGGGCAGGCGGTTATCACTTAACGACAGGTGAACCGCCAGCTCGTTTGCCACTTCCTCACATAAAAAAAAGAATCAGAACTATTTCTGTTATATTATATCAACTATATTAAAATAATATTTAAGCGGAAACAGAAAAAGAAACCTAAATATTATGAAAAATACTTCCTTTTCATTAAATTGTTCTTTAACCCTAGAAGCCCAATCTAGGTCATTTTTACCTATACACAAACAAATATCTGCTTTATCTTTTGCACACTACTTTCGATCGTCGTGATTGATCGAACCAACTTAGTACCCGCCAAGAGGCCACAGGAGACGGTGGTGTAGTATTGGTAAATCCCTTCATATTGGAGTTACCGGACTGGTGTAGGTCAATTTGACCTATGTTTAGGCTTTGTGCAACTTTTACTTTTATTTTAAGTTTTAAAAGAGAGTTATTTCAAGAGTATTAACGTTGTATTTTATTGACTTATTAACGAATAAATATTATTTTAGTAAAAAAACAAGATGGTGTCTGTCCCCTAGACAGCTGAGAACCGACGAGATAGTTAGCGAAGAGACTGTTCTAAATGAAAATACCCAGTGGCAGATTTATAGTCTTGGCCGCCCTAGGCACCAGTCCATGTAGTAAGTTCCAGCCACCCCTTTCTCTGAGAAATCATATATCTTGTAATCATCAGTGAATATTTTGTTAGGATTGGCCGCCCCTAACATTTGGCCGCCCTAGGCCCGGGCCTATTGAGCCTAAGGGCAAATCCGCCACTGAAAATACGTCTATTGAATCAACTACAAATATACCTCAGTTATCATCAAACAGAATCATTGTATTACCACAACGTTCATTACGCTCAAAGAATAACCATGTTTGGAGTACCGTAAAAAGTAGATCTGGTGGGAGGACTTCTTCAATAAGCGGTTGGAAGCCCCTACTTTGTAGGGTTCAGTGCGGGAAAATATAATGAATATCCTTCATAATGAGCCGCAACCAGTGCCAGAGGCCCTCCTACAAAAACCAGAACCGAAATAGCGTCGTAACTGTCTTATAAAAAACAGTAGAAAACATATTCACAGTGTATAAAATGTAAAAAGGCAATATTTCGTGAGCACAATATTGATTTGTTTCACACACTTATAAATAAAAAAATATTATAAAAAACTATTTTATTGATACAGAACATTTATTTGTTATTAGAAAAAAATATTTTGTTTAGTGTTTTTGTTTAATTTTAGTTTAAAAGAAAAAAAAAACCGAAAGGATTTCATTTTGTACCAAATTTTAGTATTAATTAGTCTAGCTGTTATTTCAAAGTCCAATAAATACATATTATTGTAATTATGCTTTTTTTCATTTCTGAAATGGTTAATATAAATAAATAATGATATAAAATAATAAATTTAACAGAAAAAGTAAGATATATGTGCATTAACTCACATAGGTAAATTTGACCTATGATTAGGCTTTTTAGACAACAAAATATGATTGGGCTTCTAGGGTCAATATTCAAAGTTAAGTAAGTTATTTAGGATTATTTTTTTTATTTTGTTATATGTTAAATTTTATGTTAAGTAAGTGATTTAGGATTATTTTTTTATTTTGTTATATGTAACTTACACTTGAAATGTAAGCCTAATAGATAAATTTTAATAAAATTTAACTATTATTTATAATTGCCGCCGCTTTGGGAATCGAAAATTTTAAGCCAAGCATTGCTTCAAATGCTAAATAACAATGTAGAAAGAAGGCGAAATGACTTTCGTCGCTGTGGCTATCAGCCGTTTAGCTCAGAGGCTAGAGCGTCAGGCTGCGAATGCCGAAGACGTGGGTTCGATTCCCACAGCGGCGACAATCTTTTCGTACTTTTTCTACATGTTTTAATAACGGCCGTTCGTTGAGTATAGGAACCGGGCATAAGCGATCAAGATCCTCATGATGGGTAAATCTCGATAACTGTCTTACTTTTAAATTTATTTTTAGCAAGGCTGCTACACTCAAATAACATATTGCAATGGATATTTGAACTAGACCTGTTGCCTTTGCTAATGAAATCTGAGATTTTTCACTTTTAGGGTTCCTTACCCAAAGGGTAAAACGGCACCTTATTACTAAGATTCCACTGTCTATCTGTCTATTCGTCCGTCACAGTTAAACCGTTGAAATTTTCACAAAGGATTTATTTCTGTTTCCGATATAACAATAAATCTAAAAAATAGAATAAAAAAATGTTTAAGTCTATACAACAGAGAGTTTTGCCGTTTTTCTAGATATTGTTACGGAACACTTCGTGCGTGAGAGACTCGCACTTAGCCGATTTTTATTTGTATTAAATGCCAATCCGCATTCAAGATTAAATTTAAATGTGAGTTAAATAAATAAATTGGGGAAAAATTCGCCGTAGCCGGCCTGCGTATTCGAATGTAGTTTGGACGCTTTTATAACAAGCACTCTGCTCTGATGTCATTCACGAGTTAGACCCTTAAACAACACGTCAGTGCTTCACACCCTTGTAATATATCTTTTATATTTCCGTTGTCAAAGTAGCGGAAACAAAAACAGCAACGTATGTAAAAAGGCTTGAGGAACTTCGCAGTTGCGGAAGCAGAGACAAAGGTCTTTTGCATCACTAGTTGCCACAATTGAATATTACCAGGCCCCGACATTGTACAGTTGAATTTTTAAAAACAAACTTTCTCAGTGAATGCATTGCCGCAAGGCAAATACAAAATAGTTTAAAGTCCAATGATTATATACTCATGTTTATACAGTTTTAAAGGCCCAAATTCACACAGGAGGTCCAGACTCGGTAGTATAATCGTTTATTGAAAAAAAAAAAATTGCCATTCTATTCCGTAAAAAATAGAACTTATTGATAATGCGAAAGTCATTCATAAATGCGCCATATACTTTTGAAACGAACTTGTGTTCGTCTTAGTTATGAATGATCGCGTGTTAAATAAATGAGTTGCCCATAAATCACGCACATTTTAAGATAAGTTAAAATAAATTAATAACGAGTGATTTTAATTTTTTTTTATATAACATTATTTATGTCTAGAATTTAAAAAAAAATGGATACACTTAGAAAAGCCTCCCTGTATTATGCATCTAAAAAGATAAAGCAAGTAAAATTTTAGTTTCATCATATTTTAATGTACGTAATTAAACATTTCGCCGCCGAGCATGTGATAAGTCAGCACTTAAAATTGCTTTAACATATTTCTACAGGATTAACGCCGGTGCCCGAACACTGAGGAAGAACAACCGGGTGATAAGAACAAAACCATATTAAATGAAACTACTTTACGGATTTTATCGCGTTTTTTATTTTAATTTAAATTCCCGACGTTTCGAACCCTTTCCAGCGTTCATGGTCACGGGACAGACTAAGTTGTTATACGTCTTGATGTCATAGTTAACCCCGGCTGCCGTCAATTATTTTGTTTATTTTTATTCCGATCCACGCAGAAGGAGCTTATGGTATCTTGAGGTCTGGCAGTGTTGGTGTGCTTGGATTTAATTTTATAAATTATGGGATCCCAAGCAGATGATACACTCCAACCAGCTTCTCTATTGAAATTAGGATGTTTGAACAAAACCATTTCGAAAATATGTAAAGTCCGCCAGTCCACAGATTCCTCTCTATAGAGAATCTTCTGTTTAGAAAAGGCTTTTTTACCCAGCAGTGGCAAATCAATAGATTGTTACTTTGCTATAAGTTATTGTAGTAGTTAATGATATCGTTTATACATAGTTTTTATTTAGTTTACAAAACAAAATGAATGAGGAAGCAAAAAAATTGGGGCTGAAAGAGGTTTTAAATAAAAAGGTGATTTTTTACGACTCTGGCGATTGCATTTGTAAGTAGTTACGGTTTTAGATATATTTTTGATGCTGTGTGGAGTATAAAAAGTTGGTGGATTATTCTTTCAAACGTGGAATGTTGGGTATTTTAATTACCGTAAATCAAATTAAAACAGCGATCTGAAATTCAAGGTTTTCCTACATAAACACTTCATTCCGTCTATGTACAATTTGTCTAGCTGTTCACAAAATAATTAATATAGTTGCGAAGTCGCTAATGCTTTGCAATAGGGAAGACGTCTGACTAATAAAAAAAAGTCGACAGGTGTGTAGGACACCCGGTGAGAACGAAGATTCATTGGCTGTATATTGCACGTATTATTTACAGATCAAATGAAATAAATTAACGTGATGTTAAGTGGGCGCCCATGGTCATCTACAGAGACAGGTTTCAGATTCAATCATTAAAATAGTCCACTATACCCTGCTATCCCACTTGCTAGACGAAACGCGAAAGTATAATATTTCCACTCCACGTCGGACCTCTGAGGACCGTGGTCAGTGCCAATTTTTTAAATATTTATTTTATTTAACATATTCAAGTGGGAAAATTAACGGCAGAAAATTAAGCGACAAGTGAACATACAACATGGCTGTAATTATGGGCCCCAGCGGCACAAATTATGAAATTTTAACTCTAGAAAAGTGTGAGTTGGTCACGTGATGGTCATAAATGGTCACTGACTGCATGTGGTCAATACCTTGACACTTACTACTGAGTTTCGATATCTAAGGTAATCGGAAAATATTTTGGTGGCTCAAATTAAGTCTAGAGATCACAAGATCAGATCTTAAATTATTTAAAGTGGTTATACAAGTCAAAAAGTCGTTTAAAATTAAATTTAAATTATTTTTTGAAATTAAAATTAAAATTAAATTAAAGGTACATTTTCGTATTATATAATATAACGTATTATTGTCTATAAAAGTAGAACCATAAATTCATATTATTTTTGAGAGCATTATACTTTCGCGTTTCGTACATTTTTTAGCAACTTGGAATCTCATCTGAAACTCCGCAGATGTTAATATCCATGGGCGGATGTACTCACTTAACATCGTATGAACCAACTGATGACCAACCAAGAAAGGAGTTCTTAAATCAACCAAATGGACACCGAACATTTTAGAATTAAACATAAGTAATAATAAATAAATAAATATTTAGGACACATTTGTACACAACATTTTCTAGTCCCAAACTAAGCAAAGCTTGTACTATGGGTACTAGAAAACTGATAAACATACTTAAACATACTTTTCTTTTGTAAATAAATACATATTACCCCAGGGTTGACTGGAAGAGAATGCTTATTAGCATTAAGTTTGCCTTTTGTTTAGCCTTAAGTTGAGGTGTAAACAATAAATTTTTAAATAAATAAATAAATAAATATTATACATATAGAAACACCCAGACACTAGAAAAACACCATGTTCATCACACAATATTTTTCCAGTAGTGGGGATCGAACCCACACCCTCTGGCGCAGGCGGCAGGTACACTACCCACCACGCCATTCGGGTCGTCAAAAAGTGACCAAGTTATGTGTCAGTGTTCTCTAAATTAATTTTCACGAGGCACGTGCTTGAGACCACGATACGGTGGAACGTTTTTGGATTTTTAATCGCTAAACTATTTCTTAGTCTTGGTAAAATTTATGGAAAAGCAATTTTCCGGTATGTTTTAAACCGTTATTTATGTAAGATATTGTGACCGACGAGTTCTGTCAATCCGATAAAGGTCTATGCTTGTAGGACACAAAAAAAAATTGTTGACACAACTTGTACGGAATGCTTATGCTTAAGTTACCTGTTATTAAATTATTACATACACTAAGTTGTGTTGTTGTTTTATTATGTCATTAAATTACTCAATAGATCTTCATCGACTACATGTTTTTGCCAGGACTCGAGTGTCACACGTGCGAAGGTATGCAAACCTTCGGCTAATCGATTAGGCGTTTGGCCCCTTCAACGCTAACAGAATGTACAATATATACAGCGTGTCGTTACCATCGCGACAATAAATGAACACACGTCTAACGCTAATGCCAATAATCATAAAAAAATATTAACGTTAAACAAAATCCATAATTAAAAAAAGATATTTTTCAAACAAACTAATTAAGTAAAAAAGAAACAAAATTTGTAACATCCTATACAACTCGCGTCACAGCGTCGTATTACAAGCCTCTCCTTCTAACAGTATGTTTTGTCTTTTTTAAATTCATTCAACCCATTCTAATGCTTTGTGACCTTTACAAATGAACTTTACGTTACGCTTTTATAGATAAGGGTGTTCTACAATTCTTTGTTTTGGAAAATTTAATAACTCTGTAAATATTGATGTTTAAAGAATTTAAATGTTTGCGTGTTCATTTATTGTCGCGATGGTAACGACACGCTGTATATAGCTACAATTATGTAGTAAAATGATGAAATTTCTAATTTATAACTCAATTATTGTGTCAAGAACACAAACAAAACTGCTAAAGATGGGACGTTATTATTAGGAATTAAAATGACAATCAAAAGGAATATTTTTAAAGTGTGCTAGGTAATCTCCGTGTAATTTTTCCAAGGAGAAACAATAAATAGATAGCTAAAGCCTGCGAGGTATCATTATTTTTCTACTAACACAAGGAAACTATAAGAAACAACTCATCTTGGAAAGTGGGATGAAAAGATAGCGTTCCTCATTAAAGTTTGTTTATTAAGGAGCTCGCTTTGGAAAGCTCATCTTGTTGATAAAGCAAAATGATGAGGGAATACTTCTCGAGTTTAAGTTACCTTTATAAACTTTAATCGGCGCAGCTAAAACGTATACATTTTAGGAGTGCTCATTTTAGTACACACGATAATAAGTGTACGGAATCATTCTATTTATACTATCTCATTTATAAAACTTTATCAATTTTGAGTTTGTTGTAGATATTGTTGGATTTTAGTTAATTAACCATCCATAAGAATGGACAGACTACTCCGAGGTACCGCGGCATCACAGAAGACCGGCGTCAAGTGGAAGTGTTATACTTCTGCATTTCACCCGGTGAGTGAGGTAGCCGGGGCCCACTTTATTAAAAGGTGGCAATGAATCTGCAACCCTACGGTTGTTGCTGCGGTTATCGCTTAACATCAGTATAACCGCCAGTTCGTTAGTTCCTTCTCACATAAACAAAGGTTGACTGGTGAAGAATATCTCAGGCATTGAAGCAATGATATATTATGTCGGACTCGTACTGACTAAAACCCTAATGTTGTGCTCAGTGCTCAAATTGGCTGATTTAAGGAAAGCTTTCGTATAAGATTCAGCAGTCAAAGAAATTAGGTATTGGAAGCAGTGGACTGAAATTTAATTTTTGTGGATGGATATACGAAAATTGTCAGATTCAAATAAATCACTCATGTAGATTTTATTTACCTATCCCCCTTTAAAGTCATATTCTTTTTGTCATTTATTCCCTCCTAAAATTGTAATAATAAACATAGGTAATTGTTTTTTGAAATAGCTTGGGAGCGATCAACTCATTACCAGGGGTTATTATCATAATATATATTATTTATTCATTTATATTATAATAACTTTTTTTATAAAGTTTTTCTACGCACGTACATAAATACATATAAACATTAGATTTTCATATATATCTATATTGAGGACTAAGATTATAAATCGCTCTTATGGCCCTTTTTCGCAAAAATAAATATTCTTTCTATATAAGCTGCAAAGCAAAACACCATAGGACATTAAACTAAGGAAATAACTAAACTAAAATTAAACTAAAACCTTTATTTTCCTTATAGCATATGCTGTAGACCTTAGCTTGCTAGCAAGTCTGAAAATATGGGTACCCATTGAAGCTTTGGATCAAGAATTATTCTAAGAAAAACCGTCATGTCCACAAGGCCTAGCTCTGAACCAATTGAAACCAATGAACTGTTTCTACGATAGCATTTACCTCGTCAAGAGTTGCAAGATGTCGCTCAATTTTAAAATCTAATTGAGTGTCATAGACTTGTGCAAATGTGCGGGAGACGAGTGGGAGATGATGGACGCAGGTGGCTCAGGATAGTACTTCGTGGCAGTCTATAGGGGAGGTCTATGTTCAGCAGTGGACTCAAACAGTGGTTGAAATGATGGTGATGATGAGGATCATCGGCAAACAACACTATATACTCTTTATGCCCTACTAAGTAACCATCCGCAATTTCTAAAGGAAAACAAAAGCGTGTCAGATTCGGCTAGCATTCAATATGATGATTCCGTGGCGCAGTTGCCAAGGTATTAGCTTCGCCGGCGTGGGTCAATTCTCTCGCAGGATAACTATTTTGGCGACCCACAGATAATTGTTTCGGATGTGGGTGCTTTTCCCTAGAAACGCACCTCCGTAGGACGCACACGCGGCAATGTTTTTGAAAAAGAAAAAAGAATTTTAATTAATTGTGTAATTAAGATGCAAATGTTCATCGCAATCCTTCGACAACTAATTTCATGCATCAGGACGAATGCGGAATTCACAAGGTTGTTTTGAGGTCGACATGGCTTGATACAATTATTTTCGGTTGCAATGTTAAATATTCAAGGAGCTACACACACTACATAATATACTTTTCAGTATATTGTTAAGTAAACATTAAGTGCATTTCTTTTTTGTCTATATAAAATTTGTAACGCCTTTATGAGACGAGTTAATTTTTTATAATTTTGATCATAATTCAACTTTTAATCGGGCATCTAATAGCGATGGTGCTTCTCACAAAACATTTATGAAATATTCAGACACAGAAATTTCTTTTATCAGACAATAAGCTAAAGAAATCACATCCAGTAAGGAATAATACCACACCTTTTTTTTTTACATACCCAGTGTCAATCTCACAGTAAATACGAATCTAACGACCCCTCTCAAGCTAAAATCGATCAAGCCGTTCGGGCTGCAGAAGCATTCCAAACAATTAAACATACACTAGCGACCCGCCCCGGCTTCGCACGGGTGCACTGTATTATACATATAAACCTTCCTCTTGAATCACTCTATCTAGTAAAAAAACCGCATCAAGATCCGTTGCGTAGTTTTAAAGATCGAAGCATAGGGACAGACAGACAGCGGGACGACTTGTTTTATACTATTTAGTGATACATACATACATTATATAAAAATCAAACCCTCCTTCTGGCGGGTAAATATGCAATGGGGGGCAATTTTTTGTTTCATCCAATTGAAAATTCCATCGAAGAACCTCGCGATACAAGCTAAAATGCGTATATCGTTACTGATAACGTACTAGCTCGGGCCGTTCATGGTGTCGCAAGAAACAACTGAACTATTGATTTTGAACGCGGTCTTAACGGACGTTGCTTCGCAGCGATCGCACGCGCATTGAAGATCAACGTCAATGTATTGCATACTGTCGTTGTAAACAAAAATGTTACGCCGAAAATAATACAACAGACGGCAATATTGAAAACTTATTCGTTCGCGATAAGCTTTATTAATATGCGCATAAAATCATCGTTAAAATAATTACGCTCCAATTGTTTGAAGGTAGTTCCGTCGTTGCCGAAGTGAATTGAAAACATACGGACGGATTTAAGTTTAAAACATGTCAGAGGAAATAGTAACGCAAGATGCAAAGAAGCCGAGTAAGTGTATATTTTGTTTTTTCATTCTTTTTTTTTCTTCATTTCATCGAGGGGGACATTTCACTTTAAAAGACGTAACCCCCAAAATAACAACTAATTACATTATCAAATAACTCGATAATAATAAACAATAGCATAATCAACAAGTGTTTACACGCTTCTTTATTCCTGTTTGTGTCAGCCTGTACAGTAATTTGGTTTCCGCTGAAAGAGGGAGACACCAAACACTGTTATACTAGCCAACATTAAATGAACTAAGGGAGCCTTAGTTCATTTAATGTTGGCTTAGTTCATTTAATAAGGCTCATTCCGCATACACTCCATCAAAATATGGTAGATATCTTCGACCACATCGCATTCGGAACAATTGGGGGAGTCTGCTTTTCCCATCATAAATGTATATTAATTCAATGGGATATGTTCCGAGCGCAATCGGAAACTCGTCGTAATGCCATGGCTTCCCACATCACTTCTATCAAACCATGGCATCCGAGGTACGGTTGGTTGTATGGTGTTTTATTTTATACATTTTTCAAAAAAGGAAATATTTTTAACACCACTACTTGCTTTAACATTTTGTTTCAGGATTTTGTAGTGTTTTTGCTATATTTTATGAGATTTTTCCTCCTTTAACCTTTCTATTACATTTGTGCGCGAAACCAGAAGACAGGTTCGAATCTCGCAGCGCCAAAGGTTTTTGTTTATTTATCTTTTTATTAACAATTTACACCATGGTCTCAGAATACCGGAATGAGGTGCAAGTATTACACTGCTGTAGCGTAACTTAAGTTTAGGTTAAGCAATGTTTAAATATCTTCGATGTTCCGATGTGTTCTTTATATATCGAGGAAAACAAAATATTTATATCATTTCACTCCAAATTTATCAATGGTGCCAAACTTTTTAACATTACTTTTTTACAATCGAAAATCAAAACCGACTTCTATTTGAAGATTTTCTCCTTCTGTGTTCATTTAAGAGTTGATTTTCAGGAGTTTCCTAATTAACTCCGGATTTCAAAATCCAATACCGATGAAATTAATATGGGACCACACGGGAAGCATCAATTTCCAAATAATAAAAGAATCATAAGAATCGTTTCACTCAGTCAAAAGTGCTGAGGTAACAAACATAAAAAAAAGACAGTCGAATTGAGAAACTCCTCCTTTTGAAGTCACAGTAAAAATTAAAGAATTTTAGTAGCTAATGCCATCCAAAGACATTTTTAATTGTTCCGTAGTAATATAAAACAAAATTGCCTTCGACGATCATTCATTTATCAAATTTTTCACAGAATGCTACCATTACAAATAAAACATTTCGTTTGATCTCTCACAAGTTACATAACATATTGACCTCGAAATTGTTAGACGTAAGAAAAACAACAATACAGTAGTTTCAATTTTAACGAAGTCTCGCAACTAGTACGACATTATTATTACGGTGTAATTGTGTCACTTTAAATTGGTTTTACACGGCTTGCTTGTGATTGAAGTCTTTAAGGTTATAATGGTTGTTAAATACTATACATTATATGCATAGAACCCTTGATGAACAGTCTCTGGTACATATTATGTATGTCTCTATACCTGAAAGATATATATTTACAGCTTAGAAAACTAAAAGTAAAAAATACAAGTAAAATATAATTATAAATATAGTCCCGCTGCCTTCTTCCCTCAGTACTGAAGATAAGCAGGTCTTCTACTTCAGCACCCGTAATGTAATGTATAAATAATAGGAAATGTATTTAAGTGTGACTTGATGATAGCCATTCGCCTAAGACTCGTCGTTAACTATTCAGATAACTTTTTTATTTATATTTAATACCATGAAATAAATATTGTAAGTCTTCTATATACCTAATTCACTGAAGAATAATACAATGGAGTGATTAAATAATAAGTATATATAATAAGTTTAAATAATCGTAGCAACCACACTAATCAGGGGGTTTGAATAACTACGTGCAATAACTATCAGTCGTGTAACGTGTCGAAACATTAGTGGACTGTAAACAATATTCAACAAATGTTATCGCACAATTTGTAAAGGCTCTTGAGATACATTTTCCTCTTCATACGCGGTGACGTTCCGGCTTGTTTCCTCTATTATGAGTGACTTTGATAAATCGAGATAAAAATATTTTCAATTCATCGCCTTTATGTAATAAAGTCAAAGCAGGTGAAAAACAATTTTCATCGGCCCTTATTCATTGTGTCATTAATAATTTCTAATATAATTAATATTTTTAATACTATTTTAACCTTAACGCAAAAAAGCTCGATTTGTGGGATATTTTGCTAGAGTTTACACTTAATTATAACAAAAGAAGTCTGTATAATCATTTATATCACATAATGAGAGACGATGACAAAGTGACAATCAATACAAAGGCGAAGTGGCTACCTAACTTTTGTTATTTAGTTAATCAATCCCATACATCAGCGACTTACCTGTAAAGTATTTTATCGATATACGTAATGAACACTCGGAGATGTACCTAATTGCCAAATTGATAATTATATTAAATCGTTCATAAAGGTTTGTTTTTAAAACTATTTCAACGTTAATCATAACCTTTAATCATGTGATCAGAGAAACAATTGTATAATTAAACAAAAACTAACAATGTGTTAAGGCTAGCGTGTCGGTATTTTATAAACAAACGGTCTCTCTTGAATCGTGTAATTTCCTCGTGCACATCATATACGCTGTTTTGCGGAAGATATTTTATGTATTGTTACGAAGATCGATAGGTGCCTAACTTTTCTTGGACTGGTCATCTCACCGGTCTTTAGAGTACCACTGCAAATGTTTATTAAGAGGTTACGGGATATAACATGGACACGCTGCATTACTACAAATTCTAACACTATAAAATTAAACTGAAATTATGAGCCACGAGTTCCCCTTCAGAAGTTTATTAATATCGCAAGGGAACAGTCGATAATCATGTACTAATGAAAAAAAAATGGATTTGGTGTTAATTTCTTTTTTTTTTTATGCGAAAAGTTGTCAAACTAGCAGACGGTTCACCTGATGTTAAGTGAATACCGCCACCCATGGACATCTGCCTTTTGAAAATTGGGCTCCGGCTACCTCACTCACCAGACGAAACGCGAAAGTATTTGTCATACTTCCACTTTACGTGTGTGTGTGCTTAAACATAATGTTTTCTCCAGGAATTTTTTCATGTGTATACGTTGTTTTTCATATATTATGTATGTTACTATTGCACCACCTGCGTAGTAAACGTTCCTTTATGCCATTGGTTGTCTGGAAGAGGTCGCTAGGAAACGATAAGGCCGCCAAATTGTGAATTCAATTAACTTGTTCGTCTATTGCTAATTTTGTGTATCCTTTTATGTGTGGCGGACAATAAAGTATTCATTCATTCATGTTACGACTCGGTGAGGTTTTTGTGAACAACAGGTAATTGATCCGGATCTGTGTGTTGTTACCCTTTTTTTCCGTGCGAAAAATCCTTTAGGCATCCCCTGCCACTGGATCGGGGGAGTGGCAGTATTATGTGCGAGTCCCGGAAACGTGTACCCACTTAAAAACCCACGCCGCACCTGTCCCTATCGCATCGGCCGGGGACACGGGAACACGTGGACGTAATCTTCCGCGACCCCGGCGCGAATATGACCTTTTTGGACCTCCTCATATATATGGTGCTGTGCCGGTGCAATTAACACAGCACCTTTCATGAGCCCCATATTGAGCGACAGACACCCCTTACTTACCTCACTACTGTTTGTTTCTACCCAAGGAGGGTTGAGTTCAGGCAGGAAGCGGCAGGGCATAAGCTAATACCATTAACAGAATGACTCACAATTTCTGCAGATCCTACTAAGATTCCCACTTATTTTCGTCGACCTTATGCCTAAAAACATGCTCAATCTATTTAATTTGGATTATTAGAGAAGCGTTATACGTCATGAGGGAGCGAAATCCATCCCACTGTTTTCTGAAAAATAATAAATGTTAAAAAAATAACAGTGACCGAAACACTTGAAACCTCATGGTGATATTGATATCTATAGCAATGACCACTATCATTTAGATACAGACTGATTATTTACCGAAAGAAGGAGATGCAGATAATAATTGTGATGGGACATCGACAACAGCCCGAGAATGAAAATTAGGGAAAGCATTGTTAGTTACTTATTTTCCGAAAATTATGCTAGTGGAATAATATTTTTCGCAGATCAATGAATTACCGTTAAAGCATTCTGTTTAGGAATAGTGATACTAGCTCCATCCATGTCGATCAAGCAACTGTGTTAAAATAAAATCTTAAATGTACAGTGTCTCCTTAGATGGGTATAGTGTCTAGTCAGAGTCTATCTACGAAAAGATATTTGTTTCGGCTTAAAACTGAACGCTTTACGACGCAGTGTACGCTGATTTGTCTATGTTTGTTAGGTCATATTCGCAACAATTGTAAAATTTCATATTCAAAACTTACCGCAACTGTAATAGTCGTTATTCAAAATAATATACTTTAAATCTGCGCAGGATCTTTCATTTTTGCAAAAATATCAAGCGCTAACATAAAGTTTGGTCCTTCAAGCCGGATTTGAACCAGCGACCTATGGATAATCGAAGACTCAAGAATCGCAATTGAGCAGTTAAGGGTTCTGGTCTGGAAGCCATTTGACATCTGGAAGCCATTAATGACTTACTTATATATTTTACACCTAAACATTGTTATATACTTCCTTAATATCAAATGAAAAAACCACAATCTAAATATTTTTTAAAGCGAGCTATTGTGGTAGGTTATTGTTAACCTAACATAATATATATTCCACATCGCGTCGGGGCCGTGTTGACACTTTGGAAGTACCGAGGTTTACACTGGCTAAAACTTTTCTTGGTAGATGCATCAACTTTTATAATAAGATAGGTGACATCCACAAACAACTAAGTATAATATATATAATAGCAAACAATTTTTGAAAGCTACCCGAATGGCAAGGGCCTACTATAATGTCCAAGAATTCATTGAGAATAAGGGTGGGAAATGACTCTCGCTCTGCACTTACAAGACCCCTGGCTGCCGCTGATTTTATGCCTCAATAAGTTTGTAGAATTGCATCACAAAAAAGTAACAAAAAGAACAAGACCGCAGAGTTTCTTGCCGGTTCTTCTCCGTTCAGGTCTAGTTTAGTGAATCGGTGGTAGTTTTTTTGTTGACGTTCAATAAGAGCTTAAGTTAAGCCTATATTGAATAAACGATTGAAAACGCGGGTTAGATTCCTTTCATTACTTTTTATGTTGCTATAACGTTACGGTAACCTAAAAGTACTTATGTCACTATGTTACGAAGCGACTCAATCTACGGCCTTACTCACTTATGTTTGACGTATTAAATGCATTCCGCTGCCCAATAAAGTTAATTCATCTTCTTACTCCACTAGTCATTAGTGTAGTATAGGTTACTTTATATTAATCAGATACAAAGAAAAACTCTTATGTGATATTTCGATGCTTCTAGTAAAGGATTAAAAGAAACATGAAAAAGAATATAAACAAAAAAAAAAGAAACTTTGATTATGTTGTTAATACTATTGAAAATACTTTATTGTGTCCACCAAAAACGGGATATTACGACTTAATAACTATTATATTTAAGTTATATGTATGGGCACGCAACAATTTTCGCACTGTTGCCCGAATGGACAAGTCCATCCGGGTAACTACGACAACTACATAGAAGACCGGTGCGAACTGGAAGTGATACACTTCTGCGTTTCTTCCGTTGAGTGAGGTAGCCGGGGCCCACTTTATTGAACGGTGGCAACGCATCTGCAACCCAGCACGTTTCAAACGTACACGGGCGGCGGTTACCACTTAACATCAAGTGTACCGCCAGATCGGTTCTCACCTTCCGACATAAAAACAAATTATATTCATTCTTTTGTTTCAGAGTCTGTGCTCGGTGTCCGTCACGTGCAAAGCGGGATGCTGTTCCTTGCGCTAGTACTGGCTTTTGCTATGAGGGTGAACATGAGTATGGCGGTTGTGGCCATGACCGACAGGAACAATGAGGACGTAAGTTAGCTAATCATCACTACATTGTATAAAACAAAGTCGTCCCACTGTCTGTCTGTCCCTGTGTATGCTCAGATCCTTAAAACTACGAAACGGATCTTGATGCGGTTTTTACTAGATAGATTCAAGAGGTAGGTTTACAAGTATAATACATTGCACCCTTGCGAAGCCGGGCGAAGTCAATAAACTCGTGCATGAGAGTAAAAGGAATTTGTTAATTGCAATTTTAAGGGTTGACTTATCACACGCTAAGCGGTGCAGGAAAACATCCAGAATAAATCTGTATATTTTCGAAATAATGGCGTTAAATATTTATATTCTAGAATATAAGTAGGCGATAAGTATTTTAACAGTGGGATTGTATGATGTTGTACATCCAAAAACAGCTTGTTTGTCCCGCAATTAGATGGTATAGTTAAATGGATAAACACTCAAGCTAATAACGGGCAGCGCGGTTCAAGGTGCACATACGGTCTTGAAAAATTAGGTTGGAGGTGGTTGGCAAACAGCTACCTAGTACTCATAGCACAAGGTTTGGTTAGTTGGTTACTAAATAATGTGTAAATAATAAGCAACCAACTTATAAGGTAATCCCTGAACCCAAATGAAAATTAAAGTATTACATAAATATTAATCGGAAAATAATTTAAAAAGACATTAAATATAATTCATGTACCTGTTAATAATATAAGATAGCGGTTTAATTAAATAAATTGGAATTATGGTAAACGTCAAAAAGTTGTTATTGGTTGCCATGGATACCGCAAAGAAAGTCGAAGTTGGTCGCTTGCAACTTCACCATGTCTCTATCGGTGAGCGCACGCTTCATAAATATTTTACTGTCATAATTTTTTCCAAACACGCCAAAAGAAGTATGACTTCAAAAACTGCGCGTGGGCTATAATCTCACCCCACAGACAGTGCTCTTAAAAATGTAGTATTACAATTGCCAGTAGATAAATGAACGACGAAGAGAGTTCCAATGTTATCGTAGTGTGGTAATATATAAAATAAAATGCGTTGCACGTGCCCGCGGGAAAAATCATCTGTCACCCCTCGCGGTTATCTTCGCTACGGCAATTTATTTTCTCAATAGCTTATTGTTATCGTTTTATGTATTCACTGATATCAAGGGGTCGCTATCAAGACCTCGTATAGATTATTTACATATCTTTATATCGGCAAGCCTAGACGGCTGCTATTCACTTAAAATTGGTTATTGATTTAAGCGATACATTACAATAGACATAAGAAAAGCAGAAAAACCCTTACAGTTCCCTTGCACAAAACTTCACGAGATGATTTCTGGTATTTACGCACGAATTCCTAAATGCTAAAGTTTGTGTTTTGTATTTGATCCTTAAACAATTTCAATGAATTTGATGTTATTCAGTGTAACAGATAGTAAAAAAAACAGATATTTCATAATCCTTCCAAATTATTAAAATTAATTTATACAATATTCTAATGTTTAAGTTTTTAACATTAATTATTTTTGAATTTTTTAATACTTTTATATTTATTATTAGTTTATGATATCTCTCGTTCGAAATATTGTTGGAAAACTTTATTTGCAACTGTTTATGTGTTATAGATGACGCCAAACATTGCTTAAAATTTGAAGAAGCAAATCGTAGTTTAGTGGGCGCAATGCCAGAAATCAGGTAGCAGAAAAATTTTCGCCCATTTTTTACAAATTTTAATTAATTTCAATGCCATCGCACTGCTCGTTAAAAATAAAACAAGCAATTGCAATTTACACGTATGATTTGTGATGACACATAAGTTATTGTAAACTACAAATCTATATACATATAAGAGATTTCCACGGATAATTAACTCATCACGATATCTCTGGAACCATAAGACGTAGAGACTTGAAATTTGGTGGGAATGACTCCATGGCGCAGTTGCCAAGGTATAGGCTCCGGCGTCGGGGGTCGTGGGTTCGATTCCCACACGGGACAACTATTTGTGCGACCCACAGATAGTTGTTTCGCATCTGGGTGTTTGTCCGCGTGTAATTTATGTTTGCAAAACGTCCTTACAACACAGGATAGTGTTATCCCAAAGTAAGGCCAATGTTTTTACAGGAATTCCTTTCGCCGGATTTTACGAAATTCCACAAAACAAGGTTTGCCGGATCAGCTAGTAATTGATCCAATCAATTTACGCAAAATGTTTCCGAAACGTCATCAATTTGGGGTCTGAAGACGGGATTTTTGGACAGTGCATATAACAATACGCTAACAAAACATTAATTATTTAAGACATTTTAATGAAATGTGCAGTTTGTGACTACATTATCCATAGCGCCTAAAATTTCTTGCATTGTAACAGTTAAGAAGGATCGTATTTATATGGTCAAAGTAAATTTGTATGGGCAAAATAATATTTCAGGAAAACCTCGCAATACGAACCAAATCATTCTGTTCACAGTCCTTCGATTGGAGCATCCAGACGCAGTCAGTCATCTTGTCTTCATTCTTCTGGGGCTACGTGATTCTACAGATCCCAGGTGGAGAGTTGGCCGCAAGGTTCGGCGGAATGATTCTAGTCACGATTTGCATTGCCATCAATTCCGCAGTGTCCCTACTCATACCCATCGGTTCCTATTATGTGAGTTATACTTAATTCCTGGTGATATAATTATTTGAGGAGTCATGAGGAGAAGATAGAAGGCCGTGCAACAGCGTCAGCTGCAGTATGAATCTACAGGGTAAGTACCACGGTCTAACAAAACCGGTGTGAGATGAAATCCAAAGAAAACGCAGAAGTTTAGTACTGGGGTAAAGGCAGTAACCAGGGCTGGCGGAGCTACCTCATTTAAAAAAAGTTTGGCAACACATCGGCTTTAATCACTTATAACCGGTTAATCGTTCGCTTGTTTACCCCTTAATAACTTAACACGTAATTCCTATACATCGAAGTTGTTTTTTTAAATAACTCACGTGTTGCTTGTGAGCGCTCATGATAATTATTAGTTAATTTTGTTAGTTAAAGATCTCTTTATGGTGGGTTTGTATGAACTACGCAACATTTAATTTAAATGATGAGTTAATAAAAGGCGAAAAAAATCACAGAATATTCAATATTACAATGCGACTATTTCCCATACAACGTATTACATGCGCCAATAATTTTCCCCAGAAAGAATCATAATAATGCAATATCTTCGTCATTGTAAGATTTTTAAACATGGCATGACAAAGCACCGTGTGAAATTCACTTAAAAACTATATAAGAGACCATGAAGTAATATAGCATTTTCTTATTAGTTAATTTTGACTATATTAAATAGACATAAAATATTTTATTCTATTTTGTAGCATGATTCACCAGATTATTTTTTAAATATGTCTCAATATTTTTTCCCAGGGGGGTTGGCAGTTAGTATGTGCATGTCGAGTGATCCAAGGATTGGCACAGGGTTTCCTTCTACCCTCCATACACCACCTCATTGGAAAATGGGTTCCATTGGAGGAGAAGAGCCGTCTTGGAACAATCATTTACGCTGGTAAAGAATTGAATTTTTTTTCATGTGAGACTAGCGACCCGCCCCGACTTCGCAGGATGTAATGTATGAAGCATATGAACCTTCCTCATGAATCACTCTATCTAGTTAAAAAAAACCCCATCAAGTTCCGTAGTTTCAAAGATCTAAGCATACATAGGGACAGACTGGCGACGGGACTCTGTTCTATACTATGTAGTGATGGTGGCAAGCGAGCTGGTGGTTCATCTGATATTATCGATAACCTCCGCTTATTGTAATTTGCAACAACCGTAGGGTGGCAGATGCATTGCCACCTTTTAATAAAGTGGGCCCCGCCAAACTCATTCACCAGACGAAACGCAGAAGTTACACTTCCACCTAACGCCGGTTCTTTGTGAGGTCGTGGTACTTCCCCGGACGGACCAGCCCAGTCGTGAAAAAGCTAGGCCCTAGTCCTACGACAGTCGTAAATATTAAACTGTAACAGAAAAAAAAATTACGATTTACAGCATGTTTTATAAATACAATATAAATTGGATTTCAGGGGCTCAATTTGGTACAGCGCTACAGTTGATGGTATCCGGGTTCCTTGCTGATTATTGGGGATGGCCTGCTATTTTCTACTCCAACGGGACCCTCGGAGCTGTGTGGACCGTCGCCTACGTCTTCTTAGGGGCTGCGTCCCCTCAGACCTCGAGGATGATTGGAGCTGAAGAGCGACTGTACATACAAACTTCTCTCGGGCATGTTGGTGTGCAAAAGGTAAACGACATATCTTTCTTATTTTACTTTACTTGACCGGCACCAATTAAATTGTTAATTTTAAGTGCTGTATTATCACGTGCTCAGCGGTGAAGGAAAACATCGTGAGGAAAACTGCATATTTTCGAAATAATAATAAAAAAAATATTTCGAAGATATGTGAAGTCCGCCAATCCGCAATGGGGCCACGTGGATGACTATGCCCTGATACTGTACAGAGGATCCCTTTGCACAGCAGTGGGACATGTATAGGCTGACGTATTACTTTACTTTGGTTGAGGTTTTTGCTTTCAGTCCGTAGACTATCAAACATTCATTGAACTCAGGGTCATGAACTTTGTATCATGACAAGAGTTGACTGGTAGGAAATGCCAGTAGGCATTAAGTCCGCCTGTTGTAGCCCTTAGCCGACGGTTTAACAATGAAATTTAAATAAATAAATAAGTAGTCTGTTATAAAATATTTTTAATTCAATTTTAGGAAATTATTTATGCCTAATTTCCTTTTCAGTAAATTTGTTTTATTATGTTACTAAAATCTTTCGAAGTACCTATCTGAATTAAAGATTTTTTAAAACTTTATATAATGGTTTTATAGTGCTTACCTTTGTGGAAAGATGAAACATTAAAATTTGTAGAAATGGCCAAAAAGTTCTTCGCCGCCGCGAGAGGGAAACTAACCTGCGTCTTCCAGAATCACGCCCAGACGCTTTAATCACTAATTTAAACTGCTGATTGCCAAGCGGACGAAATTTTCGACTTATTTTATTTTAATTGTGTTCGCATTATAAGCAATACTTGGCGCCATCTATTGTGCCATTTACATCACACAAACATTTTCATATAATTTTTACACCATTACCATACAACATTGTTTTTCAGAAATTTAAAACTCCCTGGAAGAGTATATGGACCTCGCTACCCTTTATCTCCCTCATTGTGGTACACTGTGGTCAGAACTGGGGTTTCTGGACACTTATGACAGAAATTCCCTCTTACATGAATCAGGTGTTAGGTGTTAACATTAAAACGGTGAGTAGTCAATACCTTAGTTGTTATTAATTGACAAGACTCCGTGGCGCTGTCGCCAAGGTATTGGCGTCGGTGTCGGGGGTCGTGGGTTCGATTAACACACGAGACAACTATTTGCGCGACCCACAGATAGTTGTTTCGCGTCTAGAAGTCTTTCGAGAAATTTATGTATCTAAAACGTCCTCACAACACAGAATAATGCTATCCTAAAGTAAGGGCAATGTTAATTATCAATAAATTTAAAAAAATTGACAAGACTATTTCAAATCCCTTTTTCCACTTCCTTAATATTCTGAAGCTATAACTTGTTCGAACCTTTGATTTCAACTGCTGGTGTGGCCGATTATACACAACACGTTTTTTGATTAATTGTAACAATATTTCGATGTCATCAAATCTGCATCTGAAAATTAAAGAACTTAACCGTGAAATTTGGGAAGTGAGAGGCGATTTATTGTCAAATAAAAATAAATACATCACTCGATCTAGTAGTCTACATTTAAAAATTCCGAACGATTGTAATAAATAAGTTTAAAAAAAATTTAATACATCTTTCTATCTTCAAACAGCTATAGGAAAATTTATCTTTAAATTAACAGCTCCTTTACCAATTCATTTTAGTCGTATTGCTGTAAAAAGAAAATCCAATGTCACTTTATCAGCTTCCGTGCCTTCAGCACCTTGCTTTCGTGCATAACGTAAATAATCTCAAGTCACAATTTGGACTTTCCTATGCTGATGAGGTGGCAAGAATTTCCTGCATATCCAAGGATGCTCAATGACTTTTTTTATTGGTGTTTAACATGCGGTAGCTACGTCCAGGCGCTCGCTTTTAACTTTATGTTACTTTTCTTTAAAAACTTGTGTTGTCAGAGTAATCAAATGAAGCATTTAAAATTGAAGTTAATTTCTTTACATCCTATATAAGAAATATTATAAGTGTAGCGTATCATGTGGTAGATAGATAATTTAATTTATGTAATTTATGTGAAAATTTTCCAAGCGAGCAGGCGGTTCACCTGATCTTCAGTGAATAGCCGCTCATGGACATCTGCTTCACCCGAAGGTTACAGATGCGTTGGCAACCTTTTGAATATTGGGCTCCCTCACCCACCAGACGAAACGCAAAAGTATTTGTTATACTTCCACTTTACGCCGGTCTTCTGTGAGGTCGTGGTACTTACGCGGACGAGCCTGCCCATTCGTGCAACAGCCGAGGCTGCTGCGTGGCCCTACCACAGTTAAAATTAATAAGGTAGACAAAAAAATTCAAAATGTTATGTACGTACTGCCGGGCGCGGCAATCTGTTTCCGAGCATGTGTCTAACGTTACAATTATAGTTTGGTTGAAATTAGCCTATGACTTACTACAATAAAAGAATCATGTATGATAGGACCATGCTTTAATCATAATTATTGTAATTTCACAGAACGGCATGATGTCAGCTCTGCCATACCTGGCAATGTACCTGTTCAGTTTCCCATTGGGATTCCTTTCCGATTACATTTTGAAGAAGAAATGGCTTAGTATCACGGCATGCAGAAAGCTCTCCAACTCAATAGGTAAATTAATATTACAAATTGCAAACATTGTTTCTCATATGCTTTGGAAACGATAAATTAATTGTTACTTCCCATGGTAGAATGGAGCAGAAGATAACATTTGTTGTTAAATGTGGTCATATCACGCTCTTCAAATGGAGTTAGCAAAGCAACACTCTTTAGTTTCGTATTGAGCGGCAGACGCCACCAGATCTGCCCCTCGGGAGTTATCAGGGGGAACGGGAGGGTATGCGCCAGTCCTCTTCTCTGGCGGTTGATTTTGAATGTGGCAGTTGCCTCTCGTACTTCGCGGCAGTCTATGGGGGAAGCCTATGTTCAGCAGTGGACTCAAATAGGCTGAAACGATGATTATTTTTATATTTAAAATAAGCATTACTACTATATTTATAGTGTATTATATATCCGATCGACCTATCAAACTACTTTAAGATATATCTCGATTTTTCTTTGTGATATTGAAGTACGCCTAATCTACATAATAAATTGAATATAGTTATCTTAATGTACTATAAATATACTTATAGCATTTATTTTTAGAAGCATATCCAGCATATAGCAATATGATGGACTATATAATTATTGTATGACGAATGCATTCGTAAAACATTTTGCAATGCGTAACAAATTAATTATTATCCGCTTACTTCAACATTGCGACAATAACATATTTGTTTCTACCGAAATTGGATGTTGAATTGATTCCAACGTAATAGCTTTAGTGATTGGAATTAGTAATATAATTGAAGAATAACGTATAAATTTAAACAATGTTACTCAAATAATTGTATTTGCATGACTCTGCTTCAGAATATTTTGGTTTAAATCGTTTGGATTCTATAATATCAAGTACTTATCGTGCTCTACATAGTTTAATTTTATGAAGCATGATGTAAATGTCACTACGGTAAGATATTAATAGAGCGTCGTGGTAGACAACAATCGAAAGTAAATACTCACAAGGTATACAATACAATATTAGCATCAAAATTACTTAATTTTTTTTTTGAAAAAGATGCGATTCTATGATAAAAAAAATTAAATCAAAATAAGCAAAGTATCAAAGCATGTTGCAATTACTGAAATTATCACTGCTTTAATTCGGAATCGTTTTGTTTCAGGCCATTTCGGCCCCGCAGTATCGCTGGTTGGCCTTTCGTACGTGCCTGCAGGTAACCTTCCTTTGGCGGTAGGGGTTCTTACCGCAGTAGTAGGACTTAACGCTGGTCTTTACACCGGATACCAGGTATGTTGGTTACCAAGATGGTACTGGATAAAATATAAATAATACTTGTAAGGAATAGCCGTGATAGCTCAGTGTTCGGGCGCTCGCCTTTAATTCTCAATACTCGAGCGACCTGAGTTCGATCCCCGGTACCGGCACCAATGAGGTTTTAATTTCAAGTGCTGAATTATCACGTGCTCAGCGGTGAAGAAAAAACATCGAGACCTGCATATTTTCGAAATGATAACAAAAAACATTTATAAAATATGTGAAGTCCACCAATCCGCAGTGGGGCCGCGTAGTGTTTGTATAACTGATGTTAGAACTTGAACGCTTTCAGTCCTTAGACTATCAAAGCTTCATCGAACGCAGAACCGATGAGCTAGCCAGAACCCACGGGTTTGAGGCCCTCCCCAGTGGGTAGGGCCGCGCATGTACTCATGCAGGGCTGCGTAGTGGATTACGCCATGATGCTCCCTGTACTAAAGAGCCTTTACCCAGCATTAGGACATATAAAGAATGTTATTTTCCTTTTTTTACTTGTAATAAAACTTAACACTAAATGTGTACTGCAAATTGATAGACAACTTACTAGTATAAACACGTAATTTAATGAGATGCCAGCCACTAAAAAAAGGGAAAAACATTTTTATTTCATTAGTTGTTTATTTGTTTAGCTAGAAACTTTCATACGCTCTGATAAGGATAAATCAGACTGTGAAATTCAGACATAAATGATTTATTTTGTAACTAAATATCAATTAAGTTTTAAGGTTAAGTAAAAAGTAGGCGTCAGAGTTTACAATGATTTCTTTTGTATTTCTATATTACATACATATATAATATAGTGCATAAGTAAATTTAACAAGCCTTGCAGCTCGCCTGCTCTTCTAATATTTATTGTTTCTTTACCTGTATATTTTTAGCTCGTTCACATCGATATGGCACCAAACTTTGCTGGCACTTTGATGGGAATAACAAACTGTTTCGCCAACTGCATATCTATCATTGCACCTATAGCTGCGGGTTTCATTTTAAACGATGAAGTGAGTATATTAAGAAAAAGATATTTAACAGTTAAATCAAATTAAAACAAAATGAAAATACTGAATAGCGACGACAGGATGAAATGGTAGTGGCGTTCATAAACAAATTTCCTCGGATCTCTTTCAAATAAATATATCAGCGTGTATATGTATGTAGGTGGTAGATTTTTTGTTGACGTTCAATAAGAGCTTTAACTTAAGCTCTTATTGAACGTCACGAAACGCCTATATTGAATAAAGATTATTTAATTTTGACTTTGACTATAATCTTTAAATTTTAGATATCATCATCATCATCATCATTTCAGCCTGTTTGAGTCCACTGCTGAACATAGGCCTACCCCATAGACTGCCACGAAGTACGATCCTGAGCCACCTGCATCCATCGACTTCCCGCACATTTGCACAGGTCGTCACTCCATCTAGTGGGGGGTCGTCCCACACTGCGATGGCCAGTACGAGGCTGCCACTCGAGAACCTTTCTTCCCCAACGGTTAATTTTAGATAGACAGATTTTTATTATTATTTTTGTATGGCCACGCCACAGCTTGTTTCCGCTTGGGCCACGCAACAACTTCGCTGTTGCACGTATGGGCAAGCCCGTCCGGGTAAGTACCATGACCTCACAGAAGACCAGCGTGAAGTAGAAGTGATATACTTCTACGTTTCGTCTGGCGAGTGAGGTAGCCGGGGCCCACTTATCAAATGGTGGCAACGCTGCAACCCTACGGGTGTTTCAAATGTCCATGGGCGGAGGTTATCACTTAACCCCTTCTCACATACAAAAACAGAGATTAAAACATTAATCTGCTCAACAGACGGATCCACAAGAATGGCGGAAGGTATTTTACTTAGCATCAGGCATTTACATTGTGTGCAACAGTTTCTTCATCATCTTCGGTACCAGTGAGAGGCAGGAATGGAACGAGCCTTCCTCCGACTCAAAGGAGCCTCCCGATGGTAAGATACTGCTATAATGGAGACACCCACAAGTATTTATATCATCAAATAACTAGTGTTTGTTTACCATTCCACCTCATATTATATCATGATTTCTTTGTATTTGGTAAACGCACAAGTGTAATACAAAGATTATTTCTAAAAAGCCATGGAGGAACTTTTATCAAAGCATTTAATCTATCCAATTTTTGGTTTAATACTTCATTTAATCACTTTTTCAGCTGTTAAATGTTGAGCAGACTCACTCGGAGAAGTATCTCCGTCTCACAGAAAACTAGCATGAACTGGGAGTAAAACCAGGATAACCAGAGACCACTTTTAAAGACTGGCAACACATCTGCAATCTCTTAGGTGCTGTATATGACCATGTGCGGTATAAATCAAAAAAACCGGGAGAACCATATATATTTTTCATTCTCATAAAAAAAATTCATTTTCATTTTTTTACGTGAAATTTTCATTAACATAAAAAAAAATAAGAAACAAACAGTGCTCATAACTTATTTTTCTATAACATTATTGAAAATGTAAATAAGACATGCTGTATATTTTTTTTTATTTTTCATTACAGAAACCACTGCACAGAACAACGTAGAGAAAGTGTCATGAAGTGACGTGTCAGTCAGCCATTAGTGTACCTGATTTTATGTATAAATGTTAAATATTAAATTATAACAATAACGGCGATATTTAAAAGTTGTGTTAATTAAAATGTTATTGGGAAAATTAGTTTCACACTTTACTATCTTCCCTAATTTGTCTTGATAGTTTGAAAACTGTAAATTTTCTCCCGGAAAAATTTGCGATAGTGACCCAAGGCCCAGACCGATCCATTTTTTGCAATGTCTTCTTTAAACTTTAATCAAGATATATGATTGGTTTTTGGAGGATACTGATATGATAATTATAGGTTGTGGAAGGAATATACTTTGAATTAAAAATACTTATTATACTTTTGTAATCAGCTTAATTGGCTGCTGATACTTCGCACCCTATTTTCCATTCTCTTTGATACCGTCACTCCTATCTCAAACGTAATTTATCTTTCTAATCTGATGCTCACACTCAACACCTTCGCTCTGATCATTATCTCTTTCTTCAGATATCTTCAACTATTTTCTTTGATGCTTTTATACGTGCCGTTTTTAAATTTTATCTAGATGCTCTATAAAATTGAACACCTTTTTAATCAGGTTTATCTTTCCGTTTCTCTTTTTTTTTTCTCCTATTGTAGTTATATCATTAGATTTCTTACATGTAATAATGCATATCACCTTTCCCCCTTCTTGACATATCTATTACTAAGTATGTATGTATGTATTTCTTAAATTCCAAATGGTATTATAATATTAAAAAAAAGTGTTTAATTTATAAGTATTAATTATATAATCATATGTCTGATTGTTAAACGTCTATAATGCTAATATCTTAACTTGCTTCTACATCTTGCTCTAAATCTTGCTTCTACAACTCTTCTAAACAAAATATAAGATTGGAACATTAAAATATGTAGAAAAAGTACGAAAAGATTGTCGCCGTCTTCGGTGGAGCTAAGCGGCTCAGTGGCTAGAGCGTCAGGCCGCGAATGCCGAAGACGTGGGTTCGATTCCCACAGCGGCGACAATCTTTTCGTACTTTTTGTACATGTTTTAAAATAATGCAGTATTCATTAATAACATAGTGTAATATTTTTATTGGGTAAATTTAAATCCGATAGGTTTAGTTATGGTTTTTATTTTTCTTTTACTTTTAGTCTTCTTCTGCAAAAGCTTCCAGTTTGAAAGAAAGCCTCCACCGAAGATGTCCATTTATATTGGGCTATTCGGCTCCATTTTGAACCTGCGTGCTCTTAATTTTGTCTTCCCAACGCGTGAATGGTCTTCCTGTTTCTGTTTCTTCGTGGGCCGCTCCATGGGGTTGTTTTTACGGTCCGTATCTGGACTGTACACCTCGCCCTCTATTGCCTCTTATATTTTGGAAATTTAAATTGTTTATAGTGCTAATCTTTGCACTTAAGATTGGAACATTAAAATATGTAGAAAAAGTACGAAAAGATTGTCAGATTGAAGAATGTTTTAATGTTCAATCTTAGTGCAGAGATTAGCACTATAAAAAACTTTAAAACTTACTGCATTATTTTTTTTAATTTATTTAATATAGGGCATTATTATTAATTCCGTTAAAGTTTTTATAATACAAAGTTTTCCACGATAGCCTTAAATTACTTCTCTATTTTTCTTCTGGATGCGCAGGACGTATTGTTTGAATCATTAATTTAGTCAAATAATAAAGAGAGATATGGCATAGAGTCATAAACGTAAATGAATTAACTTGAGCCAATAAAAATATAAGAGTAATTTGTTATTTTGAGATGAAAATGTCATTGCATTACCAATCTTGTAAGGAACTGGTGTAGGTATTGTTAAAGAGAATACGATTAAAATATGGTGCGGTAATGAATGACTGACGACAAAAATTTAGTAAACACTTTTAAACCAGGTTAATGTCAGTTATTAAAATTACGTAAAAACATGCATTTTTAGGTGTTGCTTAATCACAGACTGATTCGTCATTTCATCTTGAAGAAAGGATTTATTTTTTGTAAATATGTTCTCCTATATGTTCTCAAAATCTAACGAGTTGATTGCTTTTAATCGATAAATAATTTTAATGCTTCTATATTGCATGAAGATGTTGGAATTTTAATTTTAGTTTCAAATCATTTCTCTTCATAATGTTATAATTATTGTAGCATATTTAATCTGATCAATAATTTATCAATAATTTATTAGTAGTTTGTTGTGATTTATTTAAAAGTTGTTGGTTTGACACCTATTCCGTCGTGATATTTCCTACACCCTAGAGTGGGGGGTAGTTGGTATTTGTTTTTGAGGAATATAAATTCTACTCTTATAACGAAAGTTGGTTTTGGGTCATTGGAAGATAAGGCTGTTGCTCTGCTGGAAAAGCTAAGTATTATTGTTATGCAAATATTGAGTTATTATTGATGTGTAGTCGTATAAATTGGTAAAAGCTATGTTTATAACTAATTTCTAATAATTATTGTAAGATTGAATTCAACTTATTTATATATATTCAAATAGATTTTATTGTAAGAAAAATTTTAAAAATGTTTAAACTAAAATTTTACTACTATGTTCCCATTCTTCCTGTTAAATTTCCCATTCTAAAATGTTATTTTCCCCCTGAAAAACAATATTTTAACTTCTTTTAAGCAACCTTTTACACTTTACCCACGCAGTCTCACATAAAATAAATCGTCGAATTTAGGTGTTTCGTTGCACAACAAGAGAATGCTCTTTCTTATAAAGGCTTAGGCGAATTTATGGTTTATTTGTATGGAACCTTAAGACGACAGAATGAAAGCTTAAGACGTTAATGAATATACACAAACGGTTTACAGTAGATTTTCACAGAATCATTGGTTTCGGTGCTGAGGGTCATGGGTTCGATTACCACGCGGGTATTTGTACATTTGTTCAAGTACAGGCGGCGGTAAGTATTTATTATATAGAAGGACATTATTATTTAAATTATTGTTCGTGATTTGAATATTATTGTGGTAGGGCCACAAAGTCACCACTGGGTTACTGTGGTGGGGCTACGCAACAGCTGTAACTATTCTGCGTGTGTGGGAGAATTATGCTTTCGCGTTTAGTCGGGCGAGTTAGGTAACCCAATTTTTTTTTAAAGAATTTGCAACACATTTGCAAAGGATCTTTGTTGTAGATGTCCGTGAGTGTCTGTAATAACTTGACATCAGCTGACTTGACAACTTTACACACAAAAAATACAAAGAAATATACTGCTGGTCTACTGCTATTAATTTAAACCTGTCTATAAAAAATGGGCAAAAACTTTTAATCTTAATAATTCATATTACAAATTCTTCAATGCATGCTGTTGAGAAAAGTACCAGACTGATATTCTAATATATTTTTAGGGTTCCGTACCCAAAGAGTAAAACGGGATCCTATTACTAAGACTTCGGTGTCTGTTTGTCTCTCTGTATGGCTGTCTGTCCGTCTGTCACTAGGCGAATCTCAAGAAAGGAAAGAAAATTATTGTTGTTTTTTTTTCTATTTTATTGAATTTTAAAGAAATAACGAGTGAACTTATATGGCTCTACGTGGGAAACGTGTCACCAAACTCATTTAATCCCAAACTTCACTGCTCTCGTCCGGCCGTAACTAGGAAACAATGAATTTTCATCATGCGTAAATCTTCATTTCGGGCTGATATGTCGCAATCCACTCGCCACTGGCCTTGATCTCTTGGGACTCGGTAAGCTCAGCGAAAAGAATTACACCCAACTAGTTTACGACGAGCGAGACGCCGTGCCAGTAACATCTTCGTAAATGTAAGGTACTGGAATTAAACTGTAAATATTCCGCTCTGCGTTTTCGGTTATGAAAGTAATACAATAAACGAAACATGATCAAATGAAATTGAGTAAGCGTACCGAATCCACTTCATGAAGTTTTAGTCATGGCAGTTGTTGACACTTACTTCTTAGATTTAGAACTTATGGAGTAGAAAATGAGCTCGAAGATTTTTATATATGTATCTTGTATAGATTTAACAATCGAATCTAAAACAATTATTTGTATGATTTTTTCTGTACATAACCGGTGATAAACTTTCGACAATGCGAGATTTGAACTTTCGTCTTCCGGGTAATCCACCCAGACGCTTTACGAACTGAGCACAATGGCAGATGTAAAGTATCAGCCTATACACGTCCCACTGCTGGGCACTGTCCACCACGCGGCCACCTGCGGATTGGCGGACTACACATACCTTCGAAATTTTTTTCATTATTATTTAGAAATATGCAGGTTTCCTCACGATATTTTCCTTCACCGCTAAGCACGTGATAATTCAGAAATTAAACTTAACAATTTCATTGATGCCGGCACCGGGGATAGAACTCAGGTTGCTCGAGTATATTGATCTAGCTAATCCGGCAAACGTTTTGTGGAATTTCGTAAAATCTGTTCTCAAATCCATATTTCAAGTCTCTACGCCTTAAGGTTCCAGAGATATTGTGTTGAGTCAATTATCGGTGGAAATCCATACTTCTATACTAATATATTATAAATGCGAAAGTAACTCTGTCTGTCTGTCTCGCTTCCACGCCAAAACTACTGAACCGATTTAAATTAATTTTGGTACACAGGTAGTCTAGAGCCTGAAAAAGGACATAGGCAATTTTTTAATTGGAAAAAAGTGTTGTAATGGGTTGAAAATATCTTGATATTTATTTAAGAACGACAACGCGAGCGAAGCCGCGGGCGAAAATCTAATCTCTTATGTATATATATAGAAAATAATATTAAAAAGGCAAGCTCCCGTACACTGAGCGATCACGGCTACTATGACATAACATTTAACTATGAGTATTTGAAACGAGTTATGTCGCCTTTGCTATGGACAGTTTAGGAATAGAGTGCTCAGTATATTTCTTAGAATTACGCAAAAACTGTTGCGTAATTCTATGAAATTAAGTTTCTTAGTTTTTTGTCGTTACTACACGTAATAATCCAATTTATTACTGCGTTCGATGAAGCTTTAATAGTCTAAGG